TAGAGCGCTGTCAGTCACTTCAACTTCAAGAACCAATTTGGGCATAATAGAATCATAGAATCTTAGTGCTGGAAGAGACCACAAGGGCCATCCAGTCCAACCCCCTGCCATGCAGGAATTCCCAATCAAAGCATCCCCAACAGATGGCCATCCAGCCTCTGCTTAAAGACCTCCAAGGAAGGAGACTCCACTACTCTCCGAGGGAGTGTGTTCCACTGTCGAACCGCCCTTACTGTCAGGAAGTTCCTCCTAATGTTGAGGTGGAATCTCTTTTCTTGCAGCTTGCATCCATTGTTTCAGGTCCTAGTCTCTGGAGCAGCAGAAAACAAGTTTGTCCCCTCCTCAATATGACATCCCTTCAAATATTTAAACACAGCTATCATATCACCTCTCAGCCTTCTCTTCTCCAGGCTAAACATCCCCAGCTCCCTAAGTCGTTCCTCATAGGGCTTAGTTTCCAGACTAATACTGGTTCTTTGCAAAGCAAATCTTGCAAAATAGCAGCCTACTGTTGAACAGAGCACAGTCTCTCAGCACTGGTGCTTTTTAAAACTTTTGCAAACCTTAATCATGGGTTTAGTAAAGCCAGTTCACTAAATAATGGTGAAGATGGGAACTTTGGCTAATTTCTATGTATCTTATTTTCCTCAAGCTAAGAACAGTGTCTTGTCCAGATCAGGATATTTTATTAGTGGTATTTCTATACCAACAACCAAGACTGAAACAGCAGGGACAGCTGGCATGCGTATTAGCATCCTGGCTGAATGGCTTTGGAGACCTATGGTGACACAGCTTGCTACGTACTTTGGTTTGCTACTACTATATGTCTAAGGCATGAAGCCAAGAATGTAAGGTCAGTGCTATGCAATGCAAAAAGCATCTGACCTGGGTTGGGATTGTAGACAGGAGTTTTGTTGGTATACTGCCCAGTAAACTCCCAAACTGATTTGGAAGATGCATTCTAGGATCTGGGGTTGTAAGATAACCTGCTTTGTTCTGAGAAATGTCAGGTTCTGTACTAAGGCAGCCCTGGACTTCACAGCCTTTGTGATAGCACTGGGATGGCCCTATTTTGTTGATTATTTCCCCTTTCTATAGCTCACTTGTTTACTGTTACCATGGCTTTTTTCATTGTTTTTTATATGTTTGTGCATGCTATACATATTCTCCACCTCAAGAACAATTCATGTTTAGATCTTTTGGGCAGAATTCTGTTACTGTCCCTACCTAAACTAGACTCATTTAATTAATAGGATTTCCTTGTGTGTTGACTTACCATTCAACAATTCACTGAATGGGTCTACTCTAGTTTGGACTAGCAAACAAGAATTCAGCTTTTTTGTTTATAGCAGAGGTAGCATGAGCTTTGTAAAGACCTTATGTTATGTTTACTTTTTGTATATTTTTTTACATGTTGGTGATAAAAATAAATGGAATTAAACAACTATATATATAATATATATACCCACCATATGTCATTAAAACACTCCTAAGTTATGACTGCTATCCACAGAAAAGATAACCCCCTCTGGAGCTCCTGAAGGCATACAGCTCCAAGATCCCAGCCTAACCTCTTAAATATTATTCCAGAATTTGCTTTTCTAGTCTCTCTGAAATTATTTGCATGAACATTTATTTGATCCATCTCTCTTAGTTCAGAGTGGACAAGCAGTGCAAATACCTGAAGGCCACACATTTAGCAGTTTAAAATATCCTCATTAATCACATTGTCTAGCTGTGCATATAGACAGAGTCAGGTGGATCCAACCAAATGCTGCATAGTTCATTTTCAAATGCATAAGATGCAAATACAGAGCTTTAAAAGGAGGCGTCTGTTAAAGCAAATTCACATCATGTGTGATGGGGTTGCCCTGATGAAAGATCAGTGGTAGCTGTGATCAGTGGTAGCTATGCCTAGAGCCAGCAAATGGTCTGAGTGCCTATAGATCCAATGTAAATACTGTGGAGGCAGCAGACTCCATCAGATCTTGGAATCTAAGCAGGGTTATCCCTTGTTAGTACTTAGATGGGAGAACAACAATGAATACCAGGCACTGTAGAGGCTATATATATATCAGAGGAAAGCAATGGCAAACCACCTTACAGTATTCCTTGTCTAAGAAAACCCTATGCTATACCCCCCTCTAATATACTAAGCACCATGTTTGGTATATGATTTGGCCCATCAGATGTTGAACTGTAAGTCTCAGTGGCCCTAGACAGTATAACCAATGGTGGGGGATGCTGGAAGTTGCACTCATAAATTCTGGAAAGCCTGGTGATTCCTACTCCAGATGTATGCGGTGCAGTTTCAAATCCAGGGCCAGAAAATGTATTGTCTTTTGGGTCACAGATGGTAACTCTCATCAGCCCTACCCAGCATAGCAAATTGTGATTGTTTTGGTGGCTGTGGTCCAGCAACATCAGGTGTTCTTGTTTCCCATTCTTGCTCAAAGTCTTTATTGCAGCTAGCACACTATTTTATTAAGACAACATACTTTTTTTGTAGCTAACACACTATTCTATTAAGACAACGTAATACTTTTTTTTTGCTTTGTGTTCCACTTTCAACCCTCATCCAGGTAGATGCATCATTTTAGCTTGGTCTCTTGTTGTTGAATAATTCACACTGAATTGGAGCTACAAGGTAGGGATTTTCTGTTATTGTCACTTAAAGAACAGTAAACAATGTCTCTGAATTGTAGCCATTTTCCATGTATAGTTTTTTTTTTACAAGCAAAAGTAGTATGACACCGAAATTGTGTTGGTTAAATTTTCTTGCAAAAACAAAGTTTGATTGGTACTATAACATCCCATCTCATGTGAACATGTGTTTTCTGACTCTAGATGCTTGGGTATTGTAAAATATCTTCAATTCTGCACCCACAAACACTGAGACATTTTTATATTTCATACTATATTGGAATTTTCACTGCAGTCAGATTAGAATAATAGAATCATTAAAACCTCCAGATGAGACTTCATTACACTCCAAGGCAGCATATTCCACTGCTGAACAACTTCCCATTAAGACGTTCCTCCTAATGTTTAGATGGAATCTCTTTTCCTGTAGTTTGAGTCTATTGCTCCATGTCCTAGTCTCTAGAACAAGGTTGCTCAATCCTCAATATGCCAGGTAAGTATGACAATATGACATCAATATGACATCCCTTCAAATAGTTAAACATGGCTATTGTGTCAACATTCTCTTCCTTAGGCTAAATATTCCCAGATCCCTCAGCTGTTCCTCATAGGACATGGTTTCTAGACCTTTCACCATTTTCACCTGATTAAAGGCCTTTGCAGACTGCCAGAAATAGTGCAACTTGAGTCCACTTTAAGGGTTAGGGTTAGTGCTAGGGAGTCATGGGAATTGGTTCCCCCCCCCCGAGACATTGAGCCTTCTCTGTCAGAGAGCTCTGGTGCCACAATAAAATACAATTCCCATGATTCCCTAACCCTAACCCTTAAAGTGGACTCAATTTGCACTATTTCTAGCAGTCTACAAAGGCCCTAAGTTAGTGCAAGTTTTTGTTTTGTTTTGTTAATTTGCTTGGATGAGGGCTATCTGGTTATAGCTATATATGGAAGGTCAGCAATAATATGAAAATTTATGACCAGGGAAGAGTTGTTACAGAATCTTAAAGGTGAATGCTTGTGCCAAATAAAACTTATGATGCATCCAATGAAGTGGGTTGCAATCCACAAAAGCATATGCCTAGTCTTTTAATAGCCGCAAGACTTTGGTATTAGAAAAGGAGGCTTAGAGCAGTCTCCAGGAATTCCATAATCCTGGGGGCTTTCACTGTTCCCAGTTCATCTGACAATATTTTTCAGCTGCCAAAGTCTGGGATCTCTTTAAGGTTTCTTAGACCCCTACATCTCATATGCTGAGAGCCCAGATAATGGTAGAATTGAAGTTTTAATGGTCATTCCAAGTCTTTCTATTACCTACTGCAGGTGAACCCATTGCACTGAAGGCAAATTGGGAACTGTTTACATAAGAGGGCACTAGATACTTTTTATGCAAGCATGTGATAAATACAATTGTGGTCATAGTCCAGAGTTATGCTGGTGTTATGGCCCAGCAGAGTTCCTGCCTACCTAGTTTTGTTACCAAAAGTGCATTTTTCTGAATTGTGGTGTGTGTATGAATGCCACATGGCCCCAAATGCACTCTGCTGTGAACCCCAAGTGCCACCCTGGCATGGTAAATAGGCCATGCCCAGGTCACTTGGAAGACTGGAAAATTCCCAATACCCAGAGCCAGGCAGATAGTGTGGGAGTTGCAAATGGACCATCATCACCTCCATAATCAGAACGATGGGTGATAATGGCCTAGATGTCTCACTTGATGGGCCACCTAATGA